TTATGGATCAGTCAGGGGACCTCAGAGCAAAGGCTGAGAGCAGTGTGGGCAATGGATGAGCTAGGGCCATGGCAGAGGGTGAGCCAGGCCAGGAAACCCAGGAGAGGAAGCCTCCAGGGTAAGAAGTGTGAGTAATGGGGCTTGAGAGGCCTTCAGGGAGGGAGGCACAGGCAGGACTCACACCAGCACTGGGAAACCCAAAGCTAGCTATCTCCCCAGCTGGGCCCACACCGATGAGCTCATTTTTATAAGATGAGGAGCTAAAGTGATTTAAAGATTCTAAGTGCTCTAATAGGAAAGTCAATAATAAAATGCTTTTTTAAAAAAATTTTGGGCTTGTTCTCATAACCACAAAATTTTTATGGCTCCTTTTATTTATTACTAAAATTCATTTTCCTAACAAGTAGGGTGACCCAACAGAGTGTGGAAACTATAGAACAATCTCATTGATTTCACATGTAAGCAAGATTCTGCTGAAGATTATCCAAAAATGATTGAAACAGCACATTAGCAGAGAACTGCCAGAAGTCCACGCTGGGTTTAGAAGGGGTCGTGGTACTAGGGATATTGTAGCTAATGTTAGATGGATCTTACCTGAAAGCAGGGAATACCAGAAGAATGTCTATCTGTGTTTCATTGACTATGCAAAGGCTTTTGACTGTGTGGATCATAACAAACTGTGGCTGACTCTGAGAAGAATGGGAATCCCAGAACACTTGATCGTGCTAATGTGAAACCTATACTTGGACCAAGAGGCAGTCATCAGAACAGAGCAAGGAGACACTGCATGGTTCAAAATTGAGAAGGGCGTGTGTCCTGTCTCCATACCTTTTCAACCTGCATGCAGAACAGATTATCCGGGAGGCTGGGCTCTATGAGGAGAAATGCAGCATCAGGATTGGTGGAAGATCTATCAACAATCTGAGTTATGCAGATGACATAACCCTGCTTGCTGAAACTGAAGGGGACCTGAAGTGCTTGCTGCAGAGGGTCAAGGACTGCAGCCTTCAATATGGATTGAGGCTCAATGTCAAGAAGACAAAGATTCTCACCACTGGACCAACATCCATCAGGATGGATGGTGAAGAGATTGAGATTGTTCACAGCTTTAGTTTGGTTGGCTCCACACTTAACACTGTTGGCTCCAGTAGGCAGGACTTTAAAAGACTTATTGCGAGGGAAAAGTCTGCTGTTAGGGACCTCTCCAAAGTACTGAAGGACAATAGTGTCTCTCTGGAGACTAAGGTGTGTCTGATACAGGCCATGGTCTTTGCTATCACTTGTTATGCATCAGAGAGTTGGACAGTGACTAGGGAGGATAGAAGGGGAACTGATGCCATTGAGCTGTGGTGCTGGAGAAGAGTGTTGAATGTACCCTGGACTGCCAAGAAAACAAACAGATTGATTTAGTGTGTTTTGTTGTTATATTTTAAAATTTACTTACTTTAAGTATTTATTTATACTCTAAATGTAAGTGATTGAAGGAGAGTCAAACATTAGACTCTAAAGAGGTAGAAAAGGAGAGGAGGATCAGATTTCAATAATATATTTCTTTGGTTGGTCAAAGTGTTTTACCTATTTGAGGAGGGGAAACAATGTGAATGCTCAACCATCTACATCTCTTTATCTTTTTAATAACAAAAATTTGCACCACTAGCCCCTTCAACACATATACTCACACACCCTTCTTTACTGTTTCCTAAGTGAGTACGGGGAGATCTTGTAGAACTGGCTATCAGCAAAGTGTTCCTTTTTTCATGTGTATTGCTTGTTGATGGATCTGATTGCATCAGGAAGATGGAGATTTAGCAGTCCAAGTGGGTTGACCATGCTAGTGAACGCAAGGGGTTCTTTCCACAGTCACTCACCAGTAAGACAGATGGACTGTAGTATCCAAAGCACTTTATTGAAGATCTGGGAGAACAGAGAGAATCCTCTCAAAATAAAGGCCTCCCAGTCTAAGGATGGTTATTGGTTTTTATACTTGGATTAGGTGTTAATCTTCTTAACAGATTACTACAGCGAACCAAAGAATAAACAAATGTGTCTTGGAGATGGTGCATCCAGAGTGTTCTTTGGAGGCTAGGATGAATGATGTGGCTTTACCTCACATACTTTGGGCATGTTGCTAGGAGGGGCTATTCCTTGGAGAGGGACGTGATGCTGGAAAGGGCAGAGCATAGGCAAAGGGGAACTTCAACCAGAGAGATTGACTGGAGACTGTCACAATGGACTCTAATGTGTCAGGAAGTGTGAAGATGGCACAGGATAAGACTCTGTTCAGATCTGTTGTTCATAAGGTTGCTAGTAGTATACTGACTCAAGGACACCTAACAACAAGAAGTTCAAAGCTACAGGACTTTTACATTCAAAAGAACAGTCTACATACAGTTACTAGTAAACAGACAACTTGTGCTTTAGTTTGCGTGTGACTAAAAAAAACCAGTTTCAAAAAGTAATGCTAATTGAGGAAAGATGCAGTTCTCCTTCTGGTAAACAGGCATCTTCAGGTACAGCTCACATCTGACTTAGAAAAAGGCAACTTTAGGATTCTTACATACAGTGTCTAGTTAACACACAACTTGGAGTACAGTTCACATACGACTGAGAAAAGACAAATGCTCATTCAGTGAAAGATGCATTTCTCCTCCTGGCAAACAGACAGTTTAAGGTACTCTGCATGACTCTAGAGAAGTTACAACAGGGTCTGAAGACCAAACAAATATTAATTAGATGGTTCAACCAGCTTTGCAGGCTGAAAGTACATTATGTCAGTTTTAGAACTATACCATATGTTGGAATAATTCTGAACTTATTAACACCACCCTATCAACCATATCTTGGATTGCCCAGAAGAGTCCTGTGTTACCCTTATCCTGACTTATCACCCCCTTTGATTTCAGAAGTGTCTAATTTGAACATTAAATCATATGTGGTCCTGAAACAGAATCAATTAAATTGACTGTCTACTGAAGTAAATTAATGACTTATTTGTGGCCCTTGGTTAGATTCTGATTTTTTAAAAAAAAATAATGGCTATAGAAGACATCATTGAGATAATGGAGAAATTTTATTATAGGGCATATATCCAGTATTATTGTGTATGCTCTGAATACCTTTAACATTATAACAGTAGTATATTTTAGGTAGGAAGTGGTCTTAATTCTAAGGAGATACATGTCAAAGTATTCAGGAGTAAAGTCAGCATAATGTCAACAATTTCCAAATGATTTTGAGAAAGGGTATATTCATTCCTCATTGCCAGTCAATGTGGGTTATCAGCACAACCTTCTAGGGACTAGACCACCAGAACTCCCAGTGGGTGTCCATACAGACTACTATTACTTATTACTTATTGTCAAGTCAGAACTATCTCAGAGATGACCCTCTAGCAGGGTTTCAGAGGCTGTGAGTCTCACAGGAGGAGACTGATTACCCTTCTTTTTCCTGAGAAGCAGCTGTTAGATTAGAACTGTCAGAGAGGTGCCATTTTTTGATTAGCAGAGCAGCTTTGTATAAACTATACCATCAGAGTCCCTACAGACACACATACATAAAAAGAGAAATGAACACAGCACCTGGATTATACATGACACATTTTGGTAAATACAGCTATGTGTTGTTTTATACCCCATTTCACATTTTCTCTAGGTTCGATTTTCAAATAACTCATCAGAGAGAGAAACAAACAAAGGAACAACACTTTTTGGACCTGTGGGTCTCTTGCTTCCCTTCAGATTTTGTTGTTTGCATTTCTTTTTCTTTTGAAACAATTTGTTTCTGATTATCTCTTTGGTAGTCTCTCCTTTAGCATCTCAATGCTTACTTTTGAGTGTCTGGGTCATGTCATTTTTGAGTGTAGTTGTTAATACAAGAGCTGATGAAAGGAATGTTTGTACGCTAATCTCTGTGGCAGCTCCAATTTATAGGTAAGTGAAAATAAAATGTAGTCATTTACATGCTTACAGCTTTAAGGTTTAGGGTTGGCACTCAGTAAATGTGTGTAAATGTGAGTGTATTTCCTGCGAGGCCACATTCCATTAAAGTAGTGTAGCATGGGAAGAACAACACAGATTCCCGTCCCTCCTCTCATACCTGCCGTTAGCTCTCATGGTGCCACCTGGTGACCTCGTGCATAACAGAATGAAACATTGCTGTGTTCTGCACAGTTCTCACAATTGCTGACGTGTTTATAACTCTCATGCCAAACTGCCTCACAGAAGGACACCATATGTGTGACACTCATGGGATCTAAAATTCCCAGCATCACACCAGCATACAAGCCACATACCACAGCAAACCGATAGCACCATGCACCGAGGGAGGATCATCTTTGAGGATGGGTTGCTACTGTACATTTTAAACAAGCCTGCCACATACGTTTGTATCTGCTGTTTAGAACCACTGACTTAAAATGTCTTTGAAGATTCTCTTCTTGTCACTATTCTCAGCCTTAGAGCCCATGGGAAATATTTCCTTCCTTTACCTCCTCTTCTGTCCTAACATTAAATCATCAATAATTATTTCTTATCTGCCATGGTCACATTTTATTTTTATCTCTCCCACTTCTCCATCCCAATAACAAGTAACTGCCAAAACATGACATCTATTGTTCATAGAGTCACAATGAGTTGCAGTCAACTTGACAACACATAACAGCAATATTCCCATCCCACCAACTTGAACTTGCCCACTGACTAACTTCATCGTACAAAGATTTGACGCTTCACTTCCATAGTTTACAGCCTAAAAATCCCTATAGGGCAGTCGTGCTCTGTCCCAAAGAGTTACTGTGAGTTGACATCAACTCAACAGCATCCAACAACTACAGAAACACATACGAAGCATTTAGACAAGTGCCACATGTATTTACTATCTTTAGTACTATTATCATCCTCCTCCTATAAAATGTCAGACCAAATTTATGTTTACAAGACGGTAAAGATTCTTTTTCTTCATCAATTTCTTTGTTGTTGTCTTTGTGTCTCTTGTGAATCCAGGTTTCCCTGGGACTTCTCCATGCCCATGCTACACACATCTTATGGCCTCCAGAGCGCTGGCAGAAATTGGAATCTGTTCTTCCTCCAGAGCGCTTACCAGTCCAGATCAAAGAAGAGTGATTCCATGGCTCTACCTGACTGGTGGCATTGGGAAGTCAGCACCATCACCAATTATAGGATGCAGAGACAAAGAACAGTATTCCAAAGAGAAAAGCTTTCATTCAACCTGGTGATGCTATGCTATGCCAGAAACATAACATTAAGATGATGTATACATTATTAAATGAAAGAAATCCTTGATATTGCTACTTGATTTGAGTGTTAAATTGTGATAACCTATTGTCCAATGCCAAAAAATACCCAGAGGTTTATGGATATGAAAGTATCTTGCACACATGTCTCAAAGGGTCTAACTTTGAGGTTATAAGTGTTTGTTCTTTTTCACTGGCAAAGTTTGGGTTAGGTGCTAGCTACCGAAATGAGCATCTTTTTCATGGGGGGGGGGTAATTAGTTGAAGAGGCTTTTCTTTATATTTAAAAGGTAAGGTAGAGATATATGTATCTGTATTATACATATAGTGAAAGATATTATCTTGTGAGTTGCAGTATCTGAAATGTGATGGTGACAATTTAGGAAGAACAGGAAAGCAATGTAAAAATAAAACACTGGTTTGCTCAAGTCCTGTGTTTGGTCTTTCATTTTCCTCTAACCAATACACCCATTTCTAAGGAATCTGCTATCTCTTTGGGAAGTAATGGAGACCCAGTTACGCTCAATATTCCAATGCCTTCAGACCTTTCTTATTGGTCCTTTTAAATTCAAAACTTCTGAGTAATTTCATGCCTGCTCACACTGATGAGTAAACCTATTTATCAGCATTAAATCACGGTTTGGTAAAATGTTCTGAATGAAGTGGGAAAAATCACTCTAGATCAAACAAGCCGCATCCACCCCCACTGTCAACGAATTTTCAGTGTTCCTGTCTGCATAACACTGAAGTCATCAATTCGAAAGTGGGGCTCACCGTAGAACAATGAATTCTGAAATTCATATAGATGAGATAAATCCCTGTATCTCAGTCTATAGTTATGAAGCTTTTATTTCTTCCTTTTTTCTCCACCTGCTGATCAGAAGGCAGTACTAACAGAAGCAGAGTCTGTGGATCAATGCATTGATAGTCTGCTCTCTTTTTCTTCTGTTTATGGGCAGAAAGGATCTTAAATAATGACCAGCAGTCTTTCAGATACAGGTGCTATATTCATCCTTACTTACCAGGAAACAGAAAGTACAAAAAAAAAAAAAAAAAACAACAGGAAGCATAAGCACATTAGAACATTCATTGCTGCTATAATTCGTTAATATCATTATAGTTTATTTAACAAACACCAATGAGTGATTGACTAAGGTTGGTCAGAATTACTTTTTTAAAAAGGAAATCTGCTTAAAATCTTCTAATGGCTTGCCCTCAGCCCTCTCAATTTTTCACTTCTATTTCCCTGTGTTCCCTAGCTTGAACCTCATGTTCTGCCTTTAATGACATCAATGCCTCAAATAGTTTATCACCATCTCATGGCTTGTAATCATGGCTTAATATAATACTTTATAAGGACATGTAATTCCCTTGTAAAGTAATAAGTTATAGCTTAATACATTTTTAATTTCTATTAACAGAATTAACATTTGTTTTATAATTTGCTTTATTTTAAAATGGCAAAAAATGTTTTTTATCAGTTAGATATCAAACTTCTTAGAAAGAATATTTAAATAAATTAACATAAATCAAGCAGAATCACAGAAAATATATTAATAGGAGGGAAATACTTTAGGCATGTAATTCTGAGTATAATAGTAGATATAACATGTTCCTGAGACTTTAACTTAACAAGCTTCCCAGAAGACCTTGCAAATGTAATTTATCTCTTTCTTTATGTACATACATGTATATATACACATATATGAATATGTATGTGTGTAAATATATGTATATTCACATTCACAAGACATTTAGAGATGGTTGCTTTCTCTCCCTGTTGGTATTACACAGTGAACTATTATAGTTGCATCACCTTGCCTTATCCACTTTCTTTTTCCATTCCTCACTATTACTCACATAGTCAGATTCCATTTCTTTTTAAAGATTGCCAAGTTATCAGCTCTGTTCTCACTCTGTTAAGCAGGCTTCATGCCAATTTATAGTCTTTTCCTTTTCATTACAACTTTAAATTTCCATAGGGTGAGTGTGAAGAAGAAATGAGGCTTTGATTTTTGTAAAGTTTTAATAGCAAGAGAATTCTCTTATGAAGTTAGTTTCAGAGTATATATTAATGACTGCATTATAGTCTAATATATAATATATAGATAGATATGTTTGTGTGTTTATGTGGTCTTTATATTTCTAGGAATATTACTTCAATAAATCTACTGAGTAATAGAGTTCTTCTGTCATAAAACACATAGGGAAAGTTTTTAAGGATTCCAAAAAAACAAACAAGTCTGTCTTGGAGAGCTGAAACCAGGTTGTTCTTGGGAACAAAGATTTTGGAACTCTGGCTCACACACTTTGGGCATGTTCCTAGAAGGGACCAGTCCTTGGAGAAGGACATCATGCTTTGAAGGGTGGAGGATCAGCACAGGAAGACCCTAGAAGAGGTAGGTTGACACAATGACTGGCAATGGGGGGCTGGTTGTCAGAGACAGTGAGATTGTCTCAAGATAAGGCAGAATTCAGAACTATTGGTTCATAGGGTCTCTGAGTTGTAATCAACTCGACCTCATGTACTAACAACTAGGATTCTTGCTTAAGGACTTAAAGTCCATGGAAGCATATCGTAAAAATATCTTAAAATAACTGGCAGAACTAAAAATTAAGAAATTAAGAACTTACTCTGTTTTATAGCATGACAATAAATTTGAAAACTATTTTATGTCTTAAAATAGCAAAACTTTAGCTCATAAGATTCCATTTTTACTTTATAACCTTAAACTATTGGTTATGTCATGGAGTATGTCATGCTCTTCTCTGTAGTCACCACCAACCATGCCAGTTTGCAGTTTCTTTTCTAAGTCTTTGGCCATTTAGTTTCTGTTTGTATGACATTTAAACACTATTAGACTAATTGAAATGTATACCTTTAGGTGGTTAAATTTGAATCATAATTGGATATTCAATATACTTGTATTAATAACTTGAATAGGGGACACTTGGCTTCTATGTTTCCCTTTAAAAAGTTATTCATAGCTATATTTTTAATCAGTGGTGTGTGTAATATCTTTGCACAAATTTATTGCTGAATTACTTTGTGATTCTATTTCTAGTCATGCCTTGCTTCATATCCATGGTATCATCTGTGAACCAGAACATTATGAGATTTGGATGTTAGGCAAATACTGTTTTCTATAGAAGCAGTCACCAAATTATGAATAAATTCTTTTCCTGAATCTGTTCTTAAGTCTAATTTGTAAATAAGTTGGAAAAGTTACATACAATTTAGATGTAATCTGTATCTATTATCAGTTAAATGTTGTCTTAGTATAAAAAGAGTGAGATCAAAGTGGGACAGCAACATCTGACCTCCACTAAGTCCATCAGGAGGAAGAATCCCCATTTCTGGGAAGTCGGGCATATCTGCATGTACTTCTATCATTTCTAACAATCTCTGCCATTGCTGTCACTTTGTTTACTATTACATTCAATCATTTGTTGCAATGATAACACACAATTCACAAAGAATAGTCACAATTATGGAATTTTTTGAGGAAGTAACAGATGACAAATAATTTAGATCATGAACTATTTAAATTTCTTAAGCCAGTATAGCTTCATCTCTGGCTTTCTTATAGGTGGGCATCCCTCTTCAGCCTCCAGGCACTGGACCAGTGTTAAAAAGCTCTATTTGAAAAAAGTCCTGGACCAGATGGCTTCATGGCTGACTTCTACCAAACATTGAAAGATCTCTTACCAATTCTACTTACACTATTAAAAAAGAAATAGAAGAAGGAATCATAATAACAAAAACAGGCAAAAATATCACCAAAAGAGAAAATTACAGACCAATATCTCTCATGAATATAGATGCAAAAATCCCTAACAAAATCCTAGCCAATAAGAATTCAAATTACACTAAAAAAAAAGAAGAAAGAATTCATCATGACCAAGTTCATAACAAGTATGCAAGGATGGTTCAACATAAGAAAAACAATCATCATAATTAACCACTTTAACAAAGCAAAGAACAAAAACCACATGATACTAGCAATTAATACAGAAAAGGAATTTGCAAAAATTCAATATCACTTCCTGATTAAAACACTCAGCAAAGTAGGCATAGAAGGGGATTTCCTCAACACAGTGAAAAGTAGAAATGCAAAATCAAGAGCCAATATCCTTCCCAATGAAGAAAGACTAAACATATCTTCCCTGAAAACAGGGACCAGATAATGATGTTCATGTTCATCACTCCTGTTTACTATTGTATTGGAAGTACTTGTTAGGAAAGTATGAGAGAAGGAAATAAGAGGTATTAAGATTGGTGAAGAAGTGACTAAGCTGTGGTTATATGCAGTTGATATGATAGTGTACATAGAAAACTGCACGACTCAACAAAAAAACTATTAAACCTAGTAGACCAATTAAGTAGAGTGGTAGAATAAAACATTAATTTACAAAAGGGATTCCTCTACAGTAGCAAAGACAACGCAGAGAAGGAAACCGAGACACCAATACCAACCACAAATTGAGATACTTAGGAATAAGCCTAACTAGAAGCTTGCTTGCCAAAACTGAGTAGGGCTTGAGGCATTTGCTGCAGAGGGCAAAGGACCATGGCCTTCAATATGTATTAAAACTCAACATCAAGAATACAAAGATTCTAACCACTGGGCCAACGTGCAATACTATGATAGATGGAGAAGAGATTGAGAGTGTCAACAATTTCAATTTGCTCAGTTCCACAATCAACATTCTTGGTACCAGCAGTCAGGAAATAAAAAGATGAATTACATTAGGAAAATCTGCTGTCAGAGACTTCTCTAGAATACTGAAGAACAACAGTGTCAGTCTGGAGACCAAGGTGCACTTGATCCAAGTCCCTGACTGGGACCATCTAAAGATTAAATCCTT